TTGTGGAGAGTGGAGGCAAGGCTTGTATGTTGTCATTCTGGCTATTGCCCTAGTTACAGAAAAATTCTTTGAGTCGTAGTCTGTGGGGAAAGGTTTCTAAGTCTCCACAGAGCTATATCGTCTGTGTGGATTTGGTGGGACAGAAAGACAGGCCCCATGAAAGGACTAACTCTTCTTCTTGGCTCAGTTTGTGGCTAGATAAATGTATGATGTTGTTTTCTAAGCTTATGGTGTTCTTGTTGTGGCCAAAGTGGTTCTGCAGTACGTTAGTTTTTTCTTTCTTTTTTTCTTCATGGAATTGAGTTGTGCATCATAGATGTTTTTCCTTATGGTGATGAATATTTGTGCGGTATCTCCTGCAGAAGGCTGGTACTGTATGTGTTGTTCCAGGTCTGTAATATCCTTCTAGATTTTCTTCTGTTTGCTGTAGTGGATGTTGTTCAGATGGTTCCGTGTTTTTTGGGAGAGAGTGTAGCACAATCTTTATCCATAGTCCATGGGATATGTTGAATGTAAAGGGTTTATTCCTCTAAGTCCCTTGGGGATGCAGTCTTGTTGTTTGCATTTGATGAGGAACATGATGAACTTGTGCAAGTTTCTTCATGAGGTTGATGGATCTCCACTCTATTTGGCTAAATTCAGTGCCTTTCATAGTTGTATTTTTAGAAGAGGTAGCTGTGTTAGTTTGTGCAAGCATATCAGACAAACTCCAAATAAACAAGACAAGACAAAAACATGTGGCACCTTAAAGACCAACTATTATATTTTAATGTAAGCTCTTGTGGATACTTCCATTAAGAACAGGTTGAAATGGAATGAAATGTAGATGAAATATCAGTTTCACATTCTAAATGTTCATTGGTTACATGTAGTGATTAGGTCTATGTTTGTTTTATGGCCCTGCTGTAAAAATACTTCAGGAAGACAGAAAAGTTATACCAGGACTGAGCAGACATGAGAGGTAGGGTGGGGGGAGGAGAGAGAAGAGAGAGCGCAGCGGGGTGGGTGGGAGTTGGAGATGTAGTTAACCTCAAGAGGGGAAAGAAATGATGAAATAAGTTGGCAGAGGAATCATGTAAGTTATTGTAGGGAATATAGACAATTTTTATCCTAGAGCCTTGTGATGAAAGATGGACTTGGTAGTTTTGAAGAAAATAACAATGGCAGTGGATAAGAGTAGATTTGGTAATGGCTTAAGAAACCTAGCTTATATTCAGTCTATTTCTATGAGTGCCCATCATGCGTATAAATTTTATTTCAGCTGTTTCCCTCTGTATTCTTGATTTGTAATGATTCTGTTCTAGAGTAGTGACTTTTAAATCACAGAGTGACCTGGCAGATTGAAATGGTTGGAGACAGGTTTCTGTGTATTGTGGTTTCTGATGTCATGTTTGTTGTTTGTCCTATGTAGAGTGCAGAGGAGCATTGTTGGCACAAGATGGCATAGATTACATTCGCCGAAGAACAAGTGAATCTTCCTTTGATATTGTGTATGGCATTGTTAGGTCCCATGATTGTGTTGTAAGAATAGATGTGTAGGCAGAGTTGGGATCTAGGTATTTGACAGGGTTTAGTTGCCCTGTCTTTATTGCTGTCTTGTGGTCCATTGTGTGTTAGTATTTACTTGACATCGGGTGGCAGGGGGTGGTGTCTGTAGACAAGTATGGGTCTCCCACCAAGGTTTTGGAGAGCGAAGTGTTCTTATCTTATTGGTCTATTTGGATTTACCCTAATTTGATAAAATTATGAACACTTGTGTGTTGTTTAAATGAATGTGACTGCATAGCATTATAGGCTTGTCACTGAGATGGTAAATCTGTCCGGGTTATACTGCATTTAACAACAGATTGCATGGATGAGGGCTCACATGATTGAATATTTCTCAATAAAATACAACATCCTTTCACATACTAGTAATACCTGCATGTACGGAGTGACTGGGGACCAAGCAATGACATAGGACTTACTCAATATTAACCACAGTTTTTTTAGAGTGACAAATGTGTTAAAGCTGAATGAAAGTACAGCAGTGATGCATGACATCCATAAAAGAGCACTAAGCCAAGTTGGAGAGAAAGGACAAAAGCAAACACCCACCTGGGATTAATGGTCCTCAGCATTTATATTTGGACAGAGCAGCCACTTTTCCATGCTGGTATGGGATTCATAGAGTTGTAGTTCAGCAAAATAACTTTTACAATCTCTTGTTTTGACATAGGATGGAAAAGGTTTATTGAGTCTTACAGTGCAACTTCTCAGTGTTGCATCTCTGGCAGGGCACAAGGTTTAGCAAATAATCCAAGGAGCCTAACCTGCCCCATCCCTCCATTGAAACAGGAAGCCCATCTTTTACATGTCCAGTTTCTGGAAAGACTAGGAGACTACTGTCAGTTTAGTAAAAACCATGCTGTGTTCTAAATGCTGGATTAATACTTTGAAAGCCTAGTTACTTGAGCAATGAATAATAATTTGTCAGATTTATTAACTGAAGCAGCCACTGAGTACATACAGACATGTTCTTCTCCAATATTATAAGATGTCTAAAGGAAACACAGCTCACAGTGCCTTGCTTCATTTTCCTCTTGTCATCGGTTTGTAAAATTAGGAGGTGTACACAGATGCATTAGATTATAGAGAAATATTGGTTTCCCTAAACTGGTAGCACTTCAGATAGCCTGAACCAAATCACATTGTGTTGGGTGGGATGGGGGAAGACTGGAAAGTGCTATGGGAAATGATTCTGCTCTTTACATTGCTGCTTTTCATGTTGCTTTACACAGTCTTTTCTTTCAATAGTAAAGCCTTTTATTGCAATGTAATCTGAGAGCAATACAAACTGGTCAGATCCAAAAATGAGGAGAAAAGATTTGGCCTGTCTCAAGGCTTCTCAGAATCAGAGTTTTTAAATAGGTATATTGATGCAAATGGATATTTAGTTTATTTGTTGTTGTTTTTAATTGGGGTGTTAACAGCACTATTGTACATAAACATGTTTGCTGGTACAGAGCAAAGGTGAATGCTTAATATCAGATTTTTGAAATATGTTTGTAATACAGGACTGCTTGCCATGGATAAGAATATAAAATGTAAAAATGGTGGGGAAACAAAATCCAGAATAAAGATTGATTGATTGATTGTTTAAATTTTATTTTATTTATATCCCATATTTTTTCCAAGGCACTCAAAGCATCGTACAGCAAGTAAGAAGTATATGTATAAAATCACAATAAATGAAGATAGTATCATTAAAATAGAATTAAACCAGAAGAATGTTATGAACATCATTAGTTAAAAAATTTAAACAAATTTAAAATCCCCATTTAAAATGCAAATAAAAATATGCTGTATTTCCCTCTAAAAATACAGTTCAGTAAGAACATTTTGAGATTAAAAGTCAATTCAAAAATGAGGATTTTTGCCTCCCTGTAGAAGGACTATGTGGAGGAAGCCAACCTAACCTTTTGGGGTAGAGAACTCTATAGACTGGGATCAACCACTGAAAATGCCCTCCTTCAGGTCCTTACCAAATGTGCCTGGAATGGTGATGAGACTGAAAGGTGTTCTCCTCAAAATCTCAAAGACTGGTGTGTGTGTGGGAATTATATCGGGAGTTATGACCCATCAAATAGTCTGGACTAGACATGGAGACAAATAAAATAAATTGTGATATTAATCAGAAATCGCTGATTTGTGTAATATTTGTCACTTTGTATTGTGGAGGCCCTGACAAATATGAAGTGATGAATATTTACCCTTTTTATTTGTCTCTTTCTTGGGCTGAATGTTATGAATTTGTGTATACTCATCATAGGTAGAGGAAAGTGAGAAAGAGATAGCTCTGCACTGTTTTTTGTTTTGTTTTGGAGCCCTCTTACTCATGGAGGGTGACAACTCTGGAGCAGAGATCCTCCACTTTCTGCGGACACTCTCTGTGTGAGTCAAGATCCTGATTTTCCATGATTCTGATTCACACAAAGACCATTCATAGATAGCAGAGCTATCTCTCATTCAGGCACATACAAGATTGAGACAAAACTAGAAACAGAGGAGGGTTATATCATTCTCACTTAGGAGTGAGAATACACAAATTAACAAGACGCCATAGATTGCTTAAGTTAAGCAAGATTTTGAATGCATCATTTGAAGTTGGCTTGCTTAGGAAATAAACAATGCTTCCTTTAAACCAGGACTGCCGACAGAATATTAGGCCAGGATTCATGAAGAGTCAAGCAAAGCTATGCAGATGTCTGCTTCTTGGCCACACTGGGGCAGGGGAAGGTAAAATGAAGTCTCAAATTCATGCAGGCCCATGGTTCAAAGTGACACACAAACAACATTCCATCTTGATTATTTTGCTTCAGTGTGGCAGTGCCATAGTTAATTGCTGTGTGAAGTGGCAATGTATATGGAAGTGCAATTAGTCTTGTACTGTGGCGTATATTTTCTAGCTCCGTCTCAAAACAAAAATAAGGAGGTCTAGGATATAGTCAACACTTTTTTACAGACTGACAGATTCTCAGGCACACCACATCCAATTTCTTTGGTGGTGTAACAAAACAAAATCCCTTAAATGTAAAATCATACCTTTTGTGGTATGGACTCCATGGACAGATATTGTAGGCTGATTGTGACAATCTCCATATGCTAGGAACTTATCTTCCCCATGCTACTTGTAGTTATAGCTTTGAGCTGCCCTTTCTTGTTAATTGTTTTATGAATGGACTCTTATTTTTTATATAATGTTAATAGTACTGGTGTACTTAAGTTTTTAATAATATATATATTTTAAAAATTCAGAGTAGGACTCTTAAGAGTTTTGATGAATTTCATATTTTCTTCAACTGCTTTTCAATTTAAAATATTTGAACTAAACATTTAAAGAGTAATAATTATTGGTAATAATTATTTTGTTGTTGTTGAAAGACAGGATGGGAAGTTTGGGAAAACTGCCATTAAACTAATATTACCATCTTTTTTTCCCCTTTCCTTTTCTTTTGCAGTTGAATATGACAGGGAATTCACACCATATCAGAGGCACCACAAAGAGTTCAAGTTCAATTTGTCTCAGATTCCTGATGGAGAGACTGTTACAGCTGCAGAATTCCGAATCTACAAGGACTGTGTTTTGGGAGGCTTTAAAAACCAAACATTTCTGATTAGCATTTATCAGGTCTTGCAAGAACATCAGAACAGGTTTGTGCTTTTTACTACTATGGTTATGAAACTCAGAGAATGGAAGTCTACAAATCTTAATGAGAAACAGATATGTAGTAATCAAGGAGAATTGTAATCTGTGGCTAGAAAATTCCTTATACTGTATTTGTGCCTGTTTGTGTTTGCTGCCATTTGGTTGAGACATTTTGATTTTCAAGTTGGCAATCCTATGCATACCTACCTGACAGTGTCATTCAGTAAGGCTAACTTCGGAGGAGAGGGACGTAAATATATGAGAGATGTAGACATATAGGATTATAGTGTTAAGCTTTTTATAAGCTCTGTTGCAGTAGCTTTGGCTGGTCATTTATTATCTACAATTGCCATGATGATAGGTCCATCATCCTGGCTAAAATCCAAAGGTAGTGGTTACCAGACATCATTTCAAACAAGAACGTCTTACAGTGCTTCTTAAAGATGTCCCGGCTTGGGTTTTGATGAATCTCTAGGGAGAGACGTCTCCATCACTGATGTCTATGCTTATTTCTTTGATAATGATTAGTTGGGTGAAAGCCATGGAAACACAGCTGCATCTAGAATGTTGTTCAGATAATTGCTATCCAGTGTCTAAAATAAAAATAAAATGAGTAAGCCATGTAACCTTGATTAGAGATCAAGAAATGTGTGCAAATCTTTTTATTTTTCAAAAACCAGATTTGCCCTTATTAAATTACAAAAATGACATTACATTTGGTGGTATACCAAAACAAGGGCTGCCAATTTACCTGTCTTGTCATTTTATTATTCCTTTTTTGCTTAAGTAGTATGACATTTTATCTTATGACCAAAATCCTATTGGTGTTTGTGTAACTTGCCATGGCTAGTTGATGAGGTACTGAGGTGCACCTCACTTAATGCTGTCTGGTGCATGACCAGGGACACAAATTAGACATGCCCAGGTACCTCATCAGTTAATCACAATTAGGTGTGGCAAGTGATGCATACCTTATACAAACACTAGTAGGAATCTGGCCTACATATTTATTTATTTCGGGTATATTTTTATAGAGAATTGACTTGTACAGTCATGTGAAAGAGAAAATACATTCTCTTTGCATTCTATGGTTTTATGTATCAGAACATAATAAAAAACAATCTGGCCCTTAACAAGTCTGTAATCAGGCAAATACAACTTCAGATGAATGACAACACATGACATATTGCATGGGGTCATGATTTATTTAACAAAATAAAGCCAAAATGGAGAATCCACGGGTGAAAAACTAAGTACACCTTATGATTCAATAGCTTGTAGAACCACCTTTTGCAGCAATGAATAGTTCTTTGTATGACTTTTTCAGTCTCACATTGTTGTGGAAAATTTTTGACCCACTCTTCTTTACCACGTTGCTTCAGTTCATTGTAATTTGTGAGCATTTGTTTATGCACAGCAGTCATAAGGTCCTATCACAGCATTTCAGTCAGGTTGAGGTCTGGACTTTGATTGGGTCATTGCAACACCTTGATCCTTTTCTTCTTTAGCTATTCTTTTATGGACTTGCTGGTGTGCTTGGGATGAAATTTTTGACCCACTCTTCTTTACAACGTTGCTTCAGTTCATTGTGATTTGTGAGCATTTGTTTATGCACAGCAGTCATAAGGTCCTATCACAGCATTTCAGTCAGGTTGAGGTCTGGACTTTGATTGGGTCATTGCAACACCTTGATCCTTTTCTTCTTTAGCTATTCTTTTATGGACTTGCTGGTGTGCTTGGGATCATTGTCCTGTTGCATGATCCAATTTTGAGCAAGCTTTAGCTGTGGGAGAGATGGCCTCACATTTGACTCTAGAATACTTTGGTATACAGAGGAGTTAATGGTTACCTCAGTGACTGCAAGATGCTCAAGTCCTGTGGCTGCAAAACAAACTCAAATCATCACTCTTCTACCACTATGCTTGATAGTTGGTGTAGCAAACAGCCCTGACCTCACCTGCCCGTCACCACTGAACATTGACGGAGGAGCCAATGAGTGAATGGAAGGCGGAGCCAAGGGAGGAGGGAGCTAGATATAAAGACTGGTGGCTGGAGTCTGAGAG